CCAGCGGTAGAAGCACAGGAAGAAGAGGAGGAGCAAGATCATGGTGTTGGCCAAACAGGAATCGGCTTAAGGAAGGCAGACAGTAATACCCATCTCTACTCCGCCAGAATCAGGATTGTCACCGCCATCGTCATCAGGAACAGCAGTGGCATCATCTTAGACCAGATCAGCAGTATCAGCATCCTGAAGAGCGGCGGGGTCATTTTCATGATGGACTTCAACAGTTCTGGTCAGGCGGCTCGGGACCCAATGAGGCACTTCTCTCCTTGGGGGCAGGGAAGTCCGGAACAAGGACCTCTCTCCAGTCGCCTCTGGAACTCCTCTATGGGATGTCTGTAGCCACAACATCATCAGGTCCAGATCTTTTCTTTCTGTGAAAAAAGGCATAAACACATCTTCGACCCCAAATATAAATAGGCCGGGTTTTTTCATAATGCATTGCAAGGGCTTTTCCACCTTGCCTTAGCAAAGGTCAGCTTGGTGTTATCACGCCAGATTCGTTTGTAACAGGATCTTTTTGCAACCTTCATGAGTTGCTTTCAAGGAGCCTTGTTATGTTTCTCAATTTTTATTTTACCAGTTGCTCTATAATCTTTTATTAGCCATATATGCAGTTCTTCCATTGGAAGAGCCATTTATAAAAATTTTAGCATAAAATCCTTTAAGGGATTTTTTTTTGCTATAACATTAGTAAAATACAGTTATGTGAATTGTAGCAATGATCATCTGGGGAAAGATTATTGTTTTTGCCTCTGAATTGAGCAAAGGCAATTGTCCAGGGATCAATCTTAAAATTATCAATGAATCTATTGTTTAGTATAAGAAACATTGATCATTAGCTTTTATCCTGCCCTTTTGTATCAGACAGGCTACTGTTTAAAATTCTGAAAACGAGCCAAATGTATCTTTTTTTACTTGTAACTCTGGCCCTTGATAAATTTAGTGAGAGGCCTGAGGCCTGAGTCTCAGCAGACCACCCTGAAGCCACACCTGGCAGCAGGAAAAGACCACAAGCTGAAACAATACGACTCCCACCCATGAGTGGGCTGTACAAATATTGCTCCTTCCTCAGCATTCAAATAATTTGCTAAGGAATATGGAGAAGTTTTTTTGCCATAACTCTATGGTGTTTTAAGGTATTTGCCAGCAAGTAAGCTGTAATGCTGTGTCCATAAACAACAGTCAAAAGCTCCTATGGCTGTTTTCTTGCCAGGAAGCAAGCTGCAACAATGTATCCATAGCTCCAGAGTCCCGACTGCCTGCTTGAAAGAGTCAGAGTTTTCCCTGGCACAAAGGCCCAGAAAGCCGGCATTTTAAAACAGCCAGCTTTTTTTCTGGTAAGGCTGAAAACAAAAATGCTTTACTCTAGTCTTTTCAAGCTTTATCCATCTCCATAAATTTCTATGTTCTGAGGCAAGTCCCGGTGATTGCAGCTTTGTAGATCCTCAGTGCTACTTGGCTGTGGAGCTGCCTAGAGCTCCTTGGCCTTGGAGCCGCAGCTGCTCACACTCCACTGCAAACTCTGGAGGCCTCCGTAACTCAAACCAAATGAATATACCTCTCTTGCTTAGTGTACCCTGTTTAGTGACAAAATTCAGCTCTCTACCAAGCCTGTCCCAGGATGACACATTAAGATTGCCAGAGATGGCAAACCAAGAAGCAGTTGTGTCATCCTCAGCTAAAAACCTTTCCAAAGTGCTCCGTAACAGCTCATTGAGAGCCAGAAAAATCAGGTGTGATGTTGAAGTGCCCATTCTAAAATCCTATTCTTCCCATTGAGGTTTCTCTTGAGTTTCTTTTTTAGGTATACCCTTTATCTTTTTATCCTTTTCCTTTTTACTATCCTTTTTTATCTTTATTCTTTTCGGTCTAGACCTGCCTAAGTCCCCCCCTTTTAAATCAGACTCTGATAGGCTGTCCTGGTGTGCTTGCAGTGCCCTCCTCCCTTCCCTGGGCAACCAAAAGCAGCACGGAAAAACGACAATGACGAGGGCCACAAAGATCAAGCAAAATACCTTAGGTGCAACCTCAGCAATCATCATACTTGGGAGACTCACCGACGTCGCCACTCCGCGTGTCGAGTTCTGAATACTAATTTGCCCCTCACTCGGTACCAAAGCTTGTCCCAGTGTCCCGGGTTTCAGCACCAGTTGCAGCGAACTCCCTGACCAGCAGGAAGGAACAGCCACCAGACGAGGATTCTTCTCAAATCACGCTTTATTGGAGCCTCTTGGTTGAAGGGAGAGCAGAAAGCAAGGGGCCCAGAGCTCTGAGCTGTAGCTGCTTATATAGGGAGTCTGCCTAGCAACCTTTGATACTTTGATACTTTAACTGCTTTTCTGGAGACCCACCGGCAGGAAAGAAAGCAGGGGAACATCCCTGTCAATTACAGACCACAAGGAAGTTCCCCTGCCTGTCAGGGGAAGTGTGGGCAGCTAGATCGCAACAACTTATCCTGTTTTCTGGTGGAAGAACTGCAACCTTTATTATTGTATCAAGCGAGGCTGGGGCCAAATGCCATCTTGTAATGGCAGCCATTCAAATCGGCTCCCAGCAATATGGGACCAAGAACTTATGTCCTTCATTGCCCCCACAATCCCTGGTAACAACTTGTGGACCAGCCCAGGCCCAAAACCCTAGTAACCCCTCTCACACGAAGTTTCTGATCCCTGAAGAGAAGCTTGTGCCCAGTCTCATTAAGTTCCAGCCAATCCACATGGCTCTCGTGACTGATAGTACCAATGCTGTAGCCGCCAATAAGATCCACTGCAAAGAAGACAGGGTAAGAAGAGCGAACCCCGCCATGTAGAGGGCTGCAGTTGGTCTCTAGAATGCTGGCTTTATAATCATGTTGGGATTTAGGAACATTTTATCAGTCCAGAGGTATCAGTGGGGACCACAAATGACCAACATTGCACGATTTTTCTAAGATGCTTAAAAAACTGGGTCTCGCCAAGTGTGGTGGCACACACCTTTAATCCCAACACACAGGAGGCAGAGGCAGGTGGATCTCTGTTGAGTTTGAGGCCAGCCTGGTTTACTGAGAGAGTTCAAGGACAGTCAGGAACAGCTAAGGCTACACAGAGAAATACTGTCAATAAACTTGTCTAGAATTATAAATGTTTTACTTGGCTTTATAGGCAACTAGATAGAAGATCTCATGGAGAAATGGTGGTACACTGCTATATATAACCCAGCCCTCAGAAAGAGTGGGGGTTTGAGGCCAGGCCCTTCTATGTAGGCCAGCTCCAGCTGCCTCGTTTGACCCTGTCTTGAAAAGACAGTGAAAGAGGGTGACCTTGTTACTGAGTACCAGAGAGAGCTGAGGAGAGAAATGACCTGGTGATGTCACCCTGGCTGCGCGGAGTCACCAGAGCAGTGGATGCACAAGTGAGGAGACAAAGAAGGAAGCCCTGAGGAGAGCTCACTCAGTGAAGCTCAGTGGCTCACACCCAGAGCTCAAGCACAAGGCAAAAAGGCTGAGGCAGGAGGATAACCAATGGGACCAGCCGGCACACAGACTGATAACCTGGAGACAGAAATTATGACAGTAGACATGGTGACTCATATCTATAATCCCAGTATCCAGGGGTCTGAGACAAGAGGACCAGAAATTCAAAGCCAGTCAGGGCAACGTGAGACCCTGCCTTCAAACACTGAAAAACAACACAGCAACCAAAGCCAAACCAAACCAAGTCTGTTAGAGCCTCCAGGACCACATAGGGACCCTGAAATTATATATAAAATTTGATATTTATGCATTTTTCCTGAGAAATGTCTATAATTTTCATTACATTAAATAGGAACCGGTGACTCAGAGAACCGACTATCACTTTACATATATTGAAAAATATGTAAAATTCATGGCGCGAGCGAATGGACGGGTCTGAGGTCTGAGTTATCACCGCCACGAGAATTAGGCCTCCTGGCCTACATATCATTCCCAGTGCAGATACCTGCGTTTCTGAGCTCAGACGTGAAATGTAATATTCATGAAATAGGAAACTATCTTAAGAAGAGGCCCATATGTATACGAAAGCTTGACTTATGACAGGGATGGTATAACAAATTAGTGGGCTTTCAGATGGAAAAAATAAAGTTAAAACCCTACCCACATCACATACAAAAATAAATTCCAGATGGAAAGCAAAACTTAAGAATGTTAAAATATAGGAGGGAATATGGGGAAAAGTTTTTAAATGAGACCTCAAAAACCAGCAATTACTATTACTATTATTTTGGCAGCACTGGTGATTGAACACAGGGCTCCCCTGCACTCCGCCACTCGACTATATCCCTAGACTCAATTTTTTAAACTAAGAATTTGTTCATTACATTTTTAGTTCTTTGTTTCTATTTTGCAAGGAGCACATGTGGAAGTCAGAAGACAACTTGCAGAAGTTGGTCTTCTCCTGAGGGACTAAAGCTGAGTCATCAGGCTTGGACCAGTATCTTTAGAGGCTGAGTCATCCCATTGGCCCTTCAATTAATATTTAAAGGTGTGTGCTACGGGGCCTGAGTCTGATCCTCTAGACCCACACAGTGGAAAGGAGGGATCTACCGCCTCAGAGTGTCTTTTTTTTTTTAAAGACAGAGTCTCTCTGTGTACCTTTGGAACTTGCTCTGTAGACCAGGCTGGTCTTGAATTCACAGAGATCCACCTGCCTCTGCCTCCTGAGTGCTGGGATTAAAGGTGTGTGTCACCACTGCCCGGCTTCTCAGGTTGTCTTTTGACTTCTACTTGAGTGCCATGGCATAATGCTTCCCCCAACCGGTTCCATTACATAAATAACTACAATAAAATTTTAAATGTCTCAATACTAAAGATACCTAAAAGAGAGAAAACTCAAGCCACACACATACTGAGAAAAAAAAACTACAATGAAAATAACCATCAGAGGTTAGATACAGAATTTCACATCTCTAACAAAGAGGCCACTTGACTTTCACAATGCATAAAGGATGAGAAACTGGAAGTCACAGAAGAGAAATCCAAGTGAACAATAAGGAAGTGAAACAGCATTGCACCCACACCATGCATTTCAAGTCCTGGAGAGGATGTGGAAGAATAGGAACTCTGACTGGGAGAGGAACGCACATTGATCGTCCTCTTTGGAGAGCAATGGGAGACACTTAGTCAGGCTGAAGGCACAGCTGCTCCTATGATTCAGCAATTCTGCTCTAAGCATGGATCTCAGCAAGTAGCAGTAATGTGATTAAAACCACACCAAACAACAAACCCCCCAAACAACTAGGGGTTGAAGAAATGGCTCAGAGTTTGAAAGTACTGACTGTTCTTCCAGAGGACCCAGGTTCAATCCCCAGCACCCACATGGCAGCTCACACCCACCAAGTTCCAGGGATCCCACTGTCCTCTTTTGGCCTCCAAAGGCATAAGGCATGCACATGGCGCACAGCCATACATGCAGGCAAAATATCCATTCAACTAAAATAAACCTTTAAAAAATTAATACTCAGCAGGCTGTGGCAGCACATACCTTTTGTCCCAGCACGTGGGAGGCAGAGGCAGGTGGATCTCTCTGATTTTGAGGTCAGCCTGGGCTACAGAGTGAGTTCCAAGTCAGCCTGGGTTACACAGAGAAACCCTGTCTCAAATAAAATAAAACCAAACCAAACAATGAAAAAAAGAACCCAAAACAAAAAGCCACTCTCTAAATGCTCATGAGTAAGAGATGAGGTAAAAAACTAAATGTAAATGCAACAAAAAGTTCTGACTTAACAGCACTAGGCACGGACGAGCAAGTATTAACAATAGGTCATGACTCTCAGCAGCTGGACTTTATTAACGATTATGTGGCAGGGAAGGCTCTGAGTGCTTCCATCTGACATAGGTGCTGTCTTCGTTCACTGTGTGGGTTAAGACACTAAGAAAGATGAAGTAACTTATGTAAGCTCACAGAGCAGTAAGTACGGACAGGGTAGCTGACGCCAGTCCCATCCTTACAGACATACTATGTGGCATGCTCGCCTCTACACCTTCTGCACGATCCTAAGCTAGTCTTAGTTCTTTCTTCCATGCCTGAAACATTTGGTGACAGAAACCATAAAGTGGAGATTTATAAATGAAACACTTGTGAAATGCAAATTACATTTCTATTGTTACTAGTTACTAATAATAAGGGTTACTAATAACATAAATACAAAAAATACAGTCCTTCCAGTTCTAAAGAGTCTAGGATTTGATGATGTCTAAACAGGAAAATCCCTAAATTTGCTGATAATTCTTCTCTACTGTTCACAACTTGCTGACCCTAAGATATATGACGAGAGAACATGGTAATTCTATGGACAGACCTTCTGACAAGCCTGAGCATGAATGTATCCATAGCCAGACACTTCATAAAGACATACCCACAGGGACTTCAACATTTCCTCTAACGCTGTAAAAATGAGGTTACATACTTACCTAGTGCCTTTCAGGTTGATCACTGAATATGCTCATGATACACAAGTGCAATACAGGTATCGGTGTCAGTATTAAAGTTATAAGAGCATCTTACCTATAGCAATAGTCTTAATATCAACAAGATAAGCCAGTTTCTTATTATCTTCCATTCCTCGCTGGCACCTCTCATTGATACGGACGCTGAAACATGAAACAACAAGGTAAGGTAAAATGGGCTTAGCTAGGGTCTTCTTGAGGGTTCTGAAATAGCACATGGGATAATATTTTTAGCCTGATCTGGAGACACATACTTTAGAAGTCCCAAAGGAATCCTTCTGGATTTCGATGGTTCAGTTACCTGATGAGGTGAGGGTTCATGAATTCAGTGCGTACAGAACCCAAGGAGTCATTACTCCCATATTCCACCAGGGTAAGCTCTCCAGCACTGAAGATCATGCACTCCTGGGAAAGAATGGAGGAGGTGTGGAGAGACGTGGGGGAAGGGGCACTGTAGTTCAGGGTGACCTCTCCCTGTCTTTTCCTGTTTCATCCCCACCCTTTCCCCCATCCCTCGCCTCTCGCCCCTCTGACTAGAAGCTCCTGCTTACTGAAATGGGGGCAGGGAATCGCGGCTACTCACATTCTCATTTTCAAAGAAATATTTCTCATTGCCACCAGATCCCTGCCAGGCTATCTGCAAAGTGAGGAGAAAACATCATAGACAATGTAGACAATCACCCAAGACAAGGCTGGAGGATGTCAGTGGCAAGGAAGAGAGATGGTATTCAGGGAGGCTTTGACGTTACACAAAAGGTGCGCTGTATCAGACTCTTGCCCTGATCCTCGTATTTCCAAGAGAAACCAGTCTGACTGTGGAAGTTTATATTCCAGGAAATAATATCAGAATGGTATCCTATGGGGAATCTTACTTCTTAGGGCCCGCATCTTCAGAATTAGCAAGCCAAGACATCCCATTACCCACCCTTCCTCTCTCGGTTCCTACCTCACTGAGACCATTGGTGTTCAAGTCTCTGAGCAGCAGCGTGTCCGATGTGTGAGCCACCAAGTACCGTTCCTTCCCCAGGATCTTCACCTCTTCTACCTCATAGCCATAGTGGGACTTGAGCACCACCCTGGTCCCTGAAGACAGGTTCTTCACTATCACCTGGGAAGGGACCAGTCCAACCCATCAGGCTTTCCCAGAGCAGGAGAAGAGTGAAGGTGCTCTGGTCCCTCACGCAACTCCGGGATACTTTGTTTCTTCCTCAGCCTGGGATGCTGTTGATAAGGACAACACTTGCACCCACACAGGGGTTTGCTACCTAGGACATACTTCCCCATGGCCTGGGCTGTCCATGGCCATTCGATTCTGAGAGCTCTACTCGGTAACATTAATCACTCACTTTGTTCCCGCATTTCTTAGTACAAAGCTCTTTACCTATGAAGACAGAATACTATATCATCGTTACTGTTATATAATTATGAACCTATTATTATCGTTATTATATCATCATGTGCCTAAGATGACCTCCAACTGGCCATCCTCCTAAATGCTGAGATTTTCTTTCTCTTTCTTTCTCTTCTACTTTTTTTCTTTTTTGATACGTGTAGCCCTGGTTGGCCTGGGACTTGCTATATAAACCAGGCTGGCCTCAAGCTCACTGGCCACATACCAGACCACAATGTCTTTTTTAAAAAGAATTTGAATTACATGTGTGGGTGTGTACAAAGGTGAGTGCAGGTGCCGGATGTCAGAAGAGGGTGTTGCATCCCCAAGGCTGAAGACCCAGTGATTGTGAGACACTAACATGGCGCTGGGAACTGAACTTGTGTTCTCTGTAAGAATAGTAAGAGCCATATCTCTGACCCTGGTACGATGTCTTACAGATAAATTACCTTTGTACTCTCAGTCCTTAACAGATCTAACACAGTAGAGAAAGGATAAACGTTTCTGGAGAGACTGGAAAGATCCAGGAACAAACTGCTAACCAGAGCAAGGGAAGGGAAGTGGGAGAGTGAGACGCGTGTCTCTGGGACAACAGAGTCCTGCGCATTACAGTTCACCTGTGATCCTACACGTCCACAACTCTAGTGGGCGGCGCTTAGAACAGCTTCACACTGGGGAGATACAGGCGCCAATCCCTGTATCTCTTGAGCCAGGTGTGTAAACCTTTGCTTGCGATGGGTTAGAACAACTACGTAGCAGGAGGGTTGCCAGAAGTTGCCCTGACACATTCAGTTCCCTGCGATAGCTCTGCCAGAGGGAGGAAGGTTAAATCTGACACTGTGGCTGTGGTGGGGAAAATGTTACAAGGACAGATGAGCCATGAGAGGTCTCAGCATGCTAGGCCATCAGCTGCTCACCTGGCTGGGTCAGCTCAAACTTGTTCTTGTAAATACTCCTTCAGAGGCAGCAGTTCTTGCTGTCATAGAACCACTAGTTTCTGGTGCTGCCGTATGGCTTTTTTTGTTGTTGAATATATTCTTTTGTTAATTATTTATTTATTTTTTTATGTTTGAGTACTTTGCATGTATACCTACATGCCAGAAGAGGGCATCAGATCCTATTGCAGATGGTTGTGAGTCACCATGTGGGTGCTGGGATTTGAACTCAGGACCTCTGGAAGAGCAGCCAGTGCTCTTAACCACTGAGCAATCTCTCCAGTCCATTGAATATATTCTTACACTGCTGTCTACCCAGCTCTTCCTCCAATTGGTGCGGGTGGAGCCTGTGCCTCTGGGGGTCTCTATTTTTCCAGGAGCAGGTGGGGCCTGTGGCTCTGCTGGTAGCTGATGCAGTGGGAAATGGTTGGGTTGAGGAGGATGCTACTGCCTGGTCACTTGGATTGTGGCAGATGGGGGTGTGTAGTGGCATTTCGTTTGTATTTTAATAATAAAAGCTTTCCTGAAGATCAAAGAGTAAAAGAACCCCACTGGTCAGCCTTAGAAACCAGGCAGTTAGGTAACACACACTTTTAATCCCAGCAGCCACATTAGTTTGCCATAGAAACTGGGTGGTGCATGTGTTTAATCCCAGTGGTGCACAACTTTAATCCCTGCCCTAGAGAGAACTATAAAACAGGAGGAGACAGCTCTCAGACACAGTCTCATTCTGAAATTTCTGAAGGCAGGATCGCCATTTTTGTTTATTTTTTTCTTTATTTTTTTTCTTAAAGATTTATTTAGTTATTATGTATGCAACATTCCATGTATGCCCGCATGCCAGAGGAGGGAGCCAGATCTCCTCATAGATGGTTGTGAGCCACCATGTGGTTGCTGAGAATTGAACTCAGGACCTCTGGAAGAGCAGGCAATGCTCTTAACCACTGAGCCATCTCTCCAGGCCAGGATCGACATTTTTGGACTGAGGTTGAGGTAAGAGCCAGTGGCTGGCTGCTTTGCTTTTCAGATCTTCAGGCTGAATTCCAATTTCTCTCTCTGAGTTTTTATTAATTGTGATTCAGTGGTGGGGCATAGGATGTACCCCTGGGGTCTAGGGGTTATCCAACTTGGGAGCTCAGATACTCAGCTCTTCTTCTAGGTGTGATTGGGGTTTGTGGCTTCTGTGGTGGCTGCTGTGGTGGGGGGATTGTTGTGGGGGCTGGGGAGGATGTTGCTGCCTAGTAACTGGGGCTGAGGTAGATGGGGGTCATATAAAGAGATTCTATTAGGGTATATATAAGCCAGGTTATTTGAGCCTAAGTATTTGAGACCAGCATAGAAAGGATAGAAGATCATATTGTAATGGATAAAATGATAAAATAACTTAAAGTCCTTATGAACAGCCAGAACTTATATCACCCAACTCCCCATCTGTCCCTGCCTAACTCTGCTCCTCTTCCTCCACTTACCTTGCCATAGTCTAGATACCAAGTAGTTCCTTTCTTGGAGTCTTTGCACCTACAAACTGCTCCCTTAGAACCACTCACATCTCTGGATTGCTTAATTTTAAGACAACAACATTGCAACCCAGGCCTTTATTTTTGTGTTCAAGATATCCAGACATACATTTCCAAATATAGGAAAGTATTCAGAAAAGTTGCATTAGCTATGTACACATATTTTTCCTTTTATTACTTTCTGAACAGTACAGTATAACAATTATTTAAGGAGACTTGCCTTGCATTAAGGGTTATAAGCAATCTGGGTGGGGATGATCTAAAAAGCATAGACTGTGTACATGGATTCTATACAAATTCTACATTACTCTATATAGAGACATCAGAACCTAGAGATGGAGGTGCCTATGGGTTTCCAGGAACCAGTCCTCCATGGATCCTGAGTGGGGGTGACTTACTGTACTAGTCCATAGTTTCTAGAACCCTAGCTTCTACCTCATTGCTCTTCCATGTGTGGCTTACATTCTCAGTCATTTCACAATGCAACCAAATACAGAGATTCTGATCCTCAGGTTTGCATTCGAAACAAGGGGCAGGAGGACAAAGAGCATCCCAGGCGCCTACATGAGATGGCAACTGGGCATACTGATGAGGTCTTTTCTTGACCAGATTATATGAGGTAGGGAGAATTAGTTAGTCACCCTAAATCTGAGCTAACCTTCGCAGGGAAGAAGGAAACTTCTGCTTTTCCTTTGCTTACCCTTGCTCTTGCTAACAAGTTCTTCTAGCCTGTTGCTAAGGCGTTTTTCACTCTTATTAGAACCCATTGCTTCATGATTCCAATGTAGACTGAAGCCCAGCAGCTCTCTCAGCACCCTCTGGCATGCCAACACCAAATTGGAACTACCGAGACATCCAGTTTTACGGACTAAACAATTCCTGAATTCTTAACCTTCCCACTGGGAGACAGCAATTGACAGGTTTACCCAGATCACAGCTTGTAACATATATATGTATGTAAATATACATAACTATATATATACAATTTATACATATAAAAAATAAATATAATGTACTTTTTAATTCTATTTTGTATCCAGTTGACAAAGTCAGAGTAGTACAATATATAAATATGTTTGTTTGCAAAGACACACACACAAATGTATTGTTCTCATTTTGGGGAAAATATTATGATATGGAAACAAGTTGTTTAGCCTACATTTGATTTGAATATATTCTCCCAGTCTGTGATTTGTGTTTTCACGTTCAGGATATTTAACTTATATTTATAAACAATATGCACACAAAGAGTTTGTGCAGTTCCTGAAGCTTCTCTGTAGTGTCCTGGGATTATCATGCCACAATGTGAAATCTCCTACAAATGACAATTTATTTCACTGACATCTAAACTAAGCCAAATGAGTGATGCATTTTTGGCAAAATCATGCACTAGTAAAGCTGGAAAGGGACTCAACGACCCAGTGTCTTTCTAACTTTGTAAATAATTTCTTACATGTCTGAATGGTTCAATTATAATTCCTGTACATACAGTTTTATGGAGCAAAGGAAGTGCAACTTAAAATCAAAGCAAAACGTGGAAATCTAGTTAATTCATGGAGGGAAGACATGTTAAAAAAAAGAATCAGTTATTTCTCATAATACTGGGCATTTATTTGCTGGCTCAAGATGAAAAGAATCAGAACTCAGAATGGAGAACTTTGAATTCTAAAAATAACTGAGATAATAAAAATTCACCGTAAAAACTTGTTTTAAAAAAATTAAACAAGTCAACGATGGCAGGCAAGGGAGAGCTCATGCATTTAGGGGAAGGGTGATGTGCACACTGGATAAGCTGTGACTGCACACTTGCCATCATCCCAAGCCTCCTTTCCATTTGGGATTTGTGTATTTCTTTTAAATCTCTCTTTAAATTGACTTCTTTGTTTCATTTGAGCAGCTATTGTAAGACCAAAGAGTAATTCATATTCTCATAAGGGAAACAAAAAAGAAGCAGTTAAAAATAAAATTATGAACCAACCACCATAATATTTTATGTTAGTATACATTTAAGTGGAAAAAATAATATTTCCAGATCAAAAGCTCTTTATTTGAGATGGATGTAACTGATGACACTCTACTTAGATTGACTAAGAAAAGTAAGAAGACAGAACTTGCTAAAATGAGAACTGGAAATGGGGACATGGCTGCAAATTTAGAGAAACAAGAGTAGGGGACTTAGAAGATGGTGAACAGCACCGAGTTATGCCCTGATGGACTCTCCAAGGAACGAAGAAGGGAAAGCCAAGTGATGACTATCAGAAGAGGTGCGTGATTCCTTTGTCAACTACATAAAACAGAATTTTACAAAGAAGGAGAGAGAGCCCAGAATCCATCCAGAAGGGTTTGGCTTGGAGAGCTTCCCAGTTCCTGTGAGAGAGAAGGCTGACAGGAGACTGGTAGAGGGTCACGGGCGGGCCGTTTGAATGTCTGACCTGTATGTTCAGTAGTCAACGGTTTAGAGAGGTGGGGGAAAGAGATGAACAAAGACAACAGCAGTGGTGGCAGAAGGAAATGACCAGCATTGGATGCTCAACACTTTCAGGACATCCTTGGGATTCCTGCTGCGCGGGAGCTTGGCAG